TGACCAAGCCGGCGTGCCCGAGTCCAGCCACTGTGGCCAGCTGGCGGGCTGAGGCACTGAAGAGGCTCCTGGAAGTCTTTGGCATGGAAGATCCTCCACCCCCCCCAGCTCACTTCAAGCAGCCGCCCCAGTACATGGTGGATCTATTCAACACCATTGCCAATGCGGACGGGGTCACCAAGAACCCTGACATCCTGGAGGGCAACACTGTCCGCAGCTTCTTGGATAAAGGTGAGGGTGGGGAGTCCCCACCACGCTGGGGATGTGGCTGTGGGAAAGGACCAAGTGCAGTCAGCAGAGATGCCACCCTGGGTTTGGCTCAGCTTCTCAACCCATCCTTCCCTCCAGCTCAGGGCGAGAAGATGCGGTTCCTCTTCATCCTCTCCAGTGTGGCCAAGAATGAGAAGATCCTGACGGCAGAGCTGCATCTCTTCCGCCTTTGGCCAAGGGCCACTGACGGGCCCAAAAGGCACCACTTCTGCCAGGTGAGGAGGGCGATGGGCTGGGGACAGGATGGGTATGGGAGCGGGGATGGGGATGAGGACGGGGATGGGAACAGGGATGAATTCCAGCCTGTGCCCAGGCCTGGCACTGGCACACTGCGGTCACTCACCTGCAGCAGGAGCACAGCTCGGCTCTGTGACGTTCATATGACAGAGTGTCGCCACACTGTGCAGAGAATCACACTGATTTAACCAGGACGGGTTCTTAACTGTCGTTCTGGTTTCTGCACGCACCAGCCAAGGCTGTGACCAATCCAAGCTGACAGCTCCCCCATCTCCCACCTTTTTTTTTCCCCACTACCTGTGCCGGGGTCTTTCCCCTCAGACAGGACGCGCTGGTGGTAACTGCCCTTTGCTGCCTTCTCCAGGTCAGCGTCTACCAAGTGCTGGAGAAGAACGAGCCGGATGCTCCCGGAGGGAAGAAGCTGCTGGCATCCAGGCTGGTCTCGCTGCAGGACTCGGGCTGGGAGGTCTTTGCCATCACACAGGCCGTGAGTTGCTTTTCCCCTGGTTGCTTTTCCCCTCGTTCAGGTGGCACAGGGAGAACCCTGGGGCTTTGAGTGCAGATTGTTTTTTTAACCCATTTCTCCCCCTGTGTTCTTTTGAGCTCCAGTGCAATTTTTTAACTGTACTCTCTGCAGCAAGGTGGGGGGATACAGGCCCTGGGAGGGGGCAGGAGCCCTGTCAGAGCCCCAGGGGGCTGCTCCATCCTCCTCCAGACCCATCCCACAGCTCGGCAGGTAGGGCCAGTGCTGGCTCTGCCACAACATCCCATGTGCCACAGCCCTGCCCCATGGCTGGGAGACAGAGTGTGGCCATGGTGGGGTCCCAGTTCACACCACACTGCTGCTGACAGGGCACTGGGTCTACTGGCCTGGCATCTGCCATGGGGACACCGGCGCGGTGTCTGTCCTGGCCTGCAGTGCCCCGGTGACACTGGTTTGGTTCCCCAGGTTCGCGACTGGACAGAAGATGAGAGCAGCAACCAAGGTTTGCTCGTGACGGTCCAGGGCCTGGGCGGGAGCCCGCTTGAACCCCCCCCGCTGCAGTTTGCATCCAGCAGGGACCACCATGAGAGCAAGAAGCCCATGTTGGTCCTGTTCACAGACGACGGG